TGGTTTGCCACAGTCCCCACAATCTTAAAGCAGTTGACCTGCTTTGGAGTGGCCAGCTTAGAATGACACTTTGAGGAATAATATCTTGAAATGAGTAAATATCTTGTAGGCCTGAGCAAGCAGCTTCTCCAGGAGGCTGTATGTGCTCTCATTCAGCATCAACATATGCTGTTTCTCCCATAGTTAGTATTTATAGGTCCAGGAATCAAGGGGTGGAAATGGCAGTGGCTCTCTTATTACCCTTAGTGACCCATTAGCAAAAGTTTTGCTTCCTGTTCTCACATTATGCTCTGCTCACCTAGAGGTCTTAGCTCCTCCAGGAGATACAACGATTCCATTGAACTAGAAGTTAAGACTGTGATCTGTGCATTTTGGGCTCCTCATGCCTCTAAGTCAGTCAGCAGAGTTACTGTTTTGGCTGGGATAATTGATCCTGACTACCAAAGGGAAATTGGGCTGCTACTCTGTATAACAGGGAAGGAAGAGCATGTCTGCAATACAGGAGATGCCCTAGAGTATCTCTTAGTATGGTATGTTTGGTGATTAAAGTAAATGGAAAACTATAACAACTCATTCCAGTCAGGATTAGTAATGGCCCAGATCTTTTGAGAATGGTTTGGGTCACCCCATCAGGTAAAGAGCCACAACCATTTTAGGTGTTTCTTGAAGGCAAAGGGAATATGGAATAGAGGAAGAAGGTATTTATGAATACCAACCATGACCACATGACCTGTTATAATAATGAGGAATGTAACTGTCTTATTTCTTATTTTGTTGTATGTTATGTTTGTCTGTGTTCTTCCCTCTATTAACCCCTTGTGTAACATAAGGTGTATTCACTTCATAGCATTTAAGTATTGTTATTAATTTTGCATCATAGTATTTAAGTTACAAGATATCAAGAAGAAGGGAGAGCAAAGATCACTCAAGAACTTTACCTCCTCTTCTGGGGAAAGAGTCTATTTTTTGGTGTACACAGGATCCTTGTATCATGCTAGGTGGAAAGATGACCTTGTTGTTATCTTCATTTGGAGATTAAGTATGACTTTAGGAGATGTGTATGAGTGCCAAGTTGATGGGGGGATAGGTTTGCAAGAGTTAATTTTATATGTCAATTTGGAGGGTATTTTGGATGAGATTAACACTTAAATCAGTGAACTTTGCATGAACAGCTTGCCCTCCATGATGTGGGTGGACCTCATCCACTCAGTTGAAGCCTAAATAGAACAAAAAGACCAACCTCCCCCAAGCAAGAAAGAATTCTCCAGCAGGTGACCTTCAGACTTCATAATGTACCATCACCTCTTCTGGGTCTTCAGGCTGCCAGCCTTTGGACAGAAACTGCACCATTGGTTCTTTCATTTCTCAGCTGCCAGACCACACTGCACATTTGGGACTCACTAGTCTTCAGAAGTGTGTGTAGCTGCGCATTGCAACACTCACTTTATCCCTACCATTTATCTGCAATAAAAATCCAAGTCAGTCTCCTTTCTTTGTTCTCTCAAGACATTTTCAAAACAGCATTCAAAGCCTTTCCTGCTCTCCCCATAAAGCCTTTTTTAGTGAGTAATAAGTCTCTGAATATCCTATTGGCGTGTTAGTGGTATCATCAGCCTCAACATCTGAACCAAATTTTGGATGGAGTTCATTGTGCGTCTTCAGAGTGGCCATGACTGTTGGTCTGTGCTTACAGAAAGAATTACTAGCTGGACCTAAGAGGTGAAAGTGGAGTTGTAGGGGAATGGCTCCTCCTTGGTGATCTGGCAACCTTGCATGTATCTATACAGGCTTGAACTTGCAGCTAATCTCAATCTTGGTTAAATGCTTGGTGACTTTCCAGAACATGAGGAGAAGGAACGCTGTTAAGGAGCTGCTACGTGACCATACACCACATACCTCATCTCCTCTGGTAGTATATTATGAGGCAGTTTCTCATCACATACCAGTTTCAGATGAGGTATGGGGCTTTTTGTCCTATGCCCCTTAAAACAGAGTTATAGAACATAAAACCACTCAGCTGCAGTCTAGGTATGCCTGTTTAGTAATGGTGTATCCTAAAATTTTCATTATCATCACACAGCCCCTTTTGTTTCTCGTCTTTTAGGGAATGTGAGTTGAGGACCTGGGGAGCTGGCACCTTTGGCTCACTCATCTTTGCACTGTATATTTAAGTAATAAACTATCTAAATCTTAAAGTAGCTCATTGTATCTTTACCAGTACAATCATTCAGGTCATGGCCTTGGCTTGACTTATATGTGTGAATTTGTTATCATATAACCATGATTGTTATTTATATCTTTTATCCATAAAATAAAATAATTAGTATACATGTATTTAATCAACAGTTCTTCAACATAATGAATACTGAGGGTTGTTTCTTTCAATCATTTGTATTTGGGATGCCTTCAGTAAGTTATTAAATGCAGCTGTGTGGCCAGTTCAGCACCTGAGCAAATATTCCCATAGTATTGTATTTTATGAAGCTAAGAAGTTATAAGTGCTTGTTACTGGAAGAAGTAACAGTTAGAACTGGACATGGAACAACAGACTGGTTCAAAATTGGGAAAGGAGTATATCAAGGCTGTATATTGTCATCCTGCTTATTTAACTTATATGCAGAGTACATCATGCAAAATGCCAGGCTGGATGAAGCGCAAGCTGGAATCAAGATTGCTGGGAGAAATATCAACAAGCTCAGATACGCAGATAACACCACCCTTATGGCAGAAAGCAAAGAGGAACTGAAGAGCCTCCTGATGAAGGTGAAAGAGAAGAGTGAAAAGCTGGCTTAAAACTCAACATTCAAAAAACTATGATCATGGCATCTGTTCCCATCTCTTCATGGCAAACAGATGTGGAAAAAATGCAAATAGTGGCAGATTTTATTTCCTTGGGTTCCAAAATCACTGTAGATGGTGACTGCAGCCATGAAATTAAAAGAAAATTAATTTCTTTTCTTCGTGGAAGAAAAGCTATGATAAACATAGAGACAGTATTAAAAAGCAGAGACATCACTTTGCCAACAAAGGTCCATATAGTCAAAGGGATGGTTTTTCCACTTGTCATGTGTGGATGCGAGAGCTGGACCATAAAGAAAGCTGAATGCCAAAGAATTGATGCTTTCAAATTGTGTTGCTGGAGAAGACTCTTGAGAGTCCCTTGAACTGCAAGGAGATCAAACCAGCCAATCCTAAAGGAAATTGACCCTGAATATTCATTGGAAGGACTGATGCTGAAGCTGAAGCTCCAATACTTTGGTCACCTGATGTGAAGAGCTGACTCATTGGAAAAGACCCTGATGCTGGGAAAGATTGAGGGCACACTGAGAAGGGGGTGACAGAGGATGAGATCATTAGATGGCATCACCAACTCAATGGACATGAGTTTGAGCAAACTCTAGGAGATAGTTGAGAACAGGGAAGCCTGGCATGCTGCAGTCCATGGGGTCACAAAGAGTTGGACATGATTGTTGACTGAACAACAATATGGAATCTAGAAAGATGGTACTGATGAGCCTATCTGCAGGGCAGCAATAGAGACACAGACATAGAGAATAGACTTGGGCACAGTGGGTGGAATGAATTGAGAGTAGCATGGAAACATATAAATTACCACATGTAAAATAGATAGCCTGTGAAAATTGGCTGGATGATGCAGGAAGCTCCAATCAGGTGCTCTGTGACAACCAAGAGGGGTGGGAGGTGGGACTAAGGTTCAAGAGTGAGGGGACATATGTATACCTATGACTGACTCATGCTGATGTAGAGTCAGCAGATGCAGAAAACAACACAGTATTGTGAAGCAATTATCCTTCAATTAAAAGTTTAAAAAACTGGCTAAAAGTAGAGTAAACCTAGGAAACAACTTTCAGTTAAGGTATAAATGAAAAATTTTATGGAATTTTCTGTTGCTTCTAACAGGGGAACCTTGAAAGTGAAAGCTCTGCCCAGCTGTGTGTAATAAAGTTCTCTCAGATAAACCTTTCATCTCTTCTTTTCCAAGAATCAGTTTTTTTTCTGGGGGAACTGCTTGCTCTTAGGATTGGAACACAACCTAGAAGGCAGTAAGGAATAGAAAGGGCAGCTTCATCTTCACAGCCCTTCACACTTATAAAGGTGTTTAGGGGCTTCCCAGGTGGCTCAGTGGTAAAGAATCCACCTGCCAATGCAGGAGGTGCAGGAGACCTGGGTTTGACCCCTGGGTCAGGAAGATCCCCTGGAGGAGGGCATGGCAACCCACTCCAGTATTCTTGCCTGGAGAATCCCATGAAGAGGAGCCTGGTAGGCTACAGTGCATGGGGTTGCAAAGAGTCAGACATGACTGAGTGAATAAGCTGTTGCTCCATTTTCCCTAAAAGGTACCTCCAATGTTTTTCTCACTTTCTGCCTGCTGCTCCACAAAATAAGTCTGGACAGACCTCATGAGTTCAGTATAGCATCATTAACTCTGACCTAGGTTTTAGCCTTTACAGAATTCTAAGCACAGTTCAAAACTTAAGGAATATCTGCAATCTGTGAAATGCAAAATGGTTCACTAAAGTCAAGAATGTCAAACTTACTTTCCCGTGTCACCTACCTTCAAGTATAACTTTAACAAATGTACAACTAACATATCTACAGCCATTATTCTTCCATAAAACTATTAAAAATATTTTGTGGATTTTTATAATTTCATAAAATTGCTTCCTTGGAGACTTCACCCCTTCGGTTTTTCACATTGATATAAACTGGACTCTGAGTGTGTGTGTGTGTGTGTGTGTGTTTAAATAAAAATTTAATTTTTCCTATTTCAGTGGACCAAATTAAGAGAAAAAACTCCCAGTAGTGGTCTGTAGCAATGGAAACACTAGCTATTCCAGAGTATGCCGCCCTTTTCTTTTTGGGGGACCTATTTGACCTACTTGGCCCAAAATGGCACACCAGAGCCAACATTTTCTAAACAATACAAAATTTTTCTCCCTCTTTTTTCTCAATGCCTCATATATTAGCTTTAATAAGAATTCTGATAACTTTTTATTTTGGAAAATGTCAAATATACAAAAGTAGAGAGGAACATATATTTAATATAATGAATCATCATTTAACCATTACCCAACTTTAACAATTATCTGGTCGAGGCCAATCTTGTTTCATCAGTACCTCCAACACACTTAAATACAGACATTATTTTGAAGCAAATTCCAGACATTATTTCAACTGTAAATAGTTGGGAATATATTATAACAGCAATACTATTATTCCAACTAATATAAAATATCAAGTTGCCCAATTTTCAAATTATCCAGATTGTCTCAAAATATTTTTATTTTATAGTCTAGTCAAATCAGAATCCAAAAAAGATCCATATATTACAATTGGTTGTTAAGTCCCTTAAATCTCTTTTAATCAGCATGTCCATTCTTCATTTCTTTCATTCTGGCCATTCATTTACTAAAGGTACTATGTCATTTGTCCTGTAGAGTTTCCTGCAGTCTTGATTCTGCTCATATCTCTGTGATGTAATGTTTCTCTGTTCCCTGTATTTTCTACAGATAAGGAGTTATGTCTAGAGGCACAGTCAGATTTAGGTTCAAAATTTTGGCAAATATTTCATAGGTGGTGTAGCATACTGCCATAGCAGGCACATAAAGTCTGGGATGACACAGGCATACAAAGAAGAATTTTTGCTAATATCTCACAGATGCCTTTAAACACCTGTTTCAAACCTGATATACAAAAGTCACATATCACTTAAATAGACAGCATTTACTGTACTAACACCAGATTAGAAGGTAAATGCCTTACCACTCAGTGTCATTACAAAATATTAATTTTTAGACAAATTTTCAGTGATGTCTACCATATTTCAAGTAATTTCTTATATGCTAGATTTATAAAAAGATGAAGGAAATAAGGTCTTTGCACTTAAGGTCACATAACCTGGTGGGAAATACAGACACATAATCGTAAGAGCACAAAGAAGGCCATAGGTGACAAATTAGAAGTCTGTACAGATACAAAAGTAGTGCAACAACCTGGAGAATAGTCATTGCAATAAACAGGGAGGAAGTGTCCAAAAGGATAGGATGGGCTGTGTCCTTGGGAGTGTGAAAGAGCTCACCTGTCTTCATAATTCCATTCATCACTGGGTTCATATACTTGATTCTTTCAAAGTAAATCTGAACATCTATGCCATTCACCTAAAAAAAATATATCATTAATAGTTGTATTTGTTCATCAATTCTTCTAGTCAACAAGTATTTATTGAAGTATGGTTCATCAACCACTTTGTATTGGAAAAGCCTTCAGTGAATTATCCAATGCGGTTCCATTATGAAGCCACATGAGAGCCTGAGGAATAACAGATTGTCCTAGTTAAAATATAAAGCCAATAAATCAACACACAAGTATTTTGTTATAGAATACACTAGTAGTAGATATTTCTAATCTGTGGATCAATGACAGATGTCTCCATAGTTTAGCTACTGTTCTAAGGCTTTGAGGATACGTAAGGATTCAGGCTGGGTCCTAGTCCTCAGAGTTCATAGGCCAATAGTCATTCAGAAAGATGATTACAGTACTGGAATGATGCTGAAAATATTTCCTATTTTGCTTGGTGCTTCCACAAAAGGAACCCAGAAAAGAAAGCTTTGGCCAACTGTTAGAACTACGGGCTTTAAAGCAGCATTTTCAGCTTCCTTTTCCCAGTTAACACCTATTGATGGAGGAATTGCTCTTTCTTACAATTGGATTCCACTTAAATGGAAATGAGAGGAGCAGCTCCAGCTTCAGAGCCCTTCTACCCTTCTGTCGCAGAAGGGCCCTCTAATGATGCTAATACTTCAGAAGCTGTCTATTCCTGTTGCTTACACATGTGCATGCACACACATTCACCAAAATATATGTTTCTAAATACAAAAATGTTGAAATATTTAGTTCTTTCAAATTAAACCATACAACAGAATTCAAAATATTTATAGCCACCTCATATCCCTTTCAGAGTTACTTCTTTTAACTTATCTGATCAACAAAACAAGTTCCTTAGAAAATATAGTACATTGGGTGTCCAGGGAAACTATATATTACATATCAATATTATCTTTATTCCAACATGTTTTCTTAAAATGTTTTTTAAGACATTCGTCCAGTTTTGGGGGGGGGAACCCAATCTTTAAAAAACACGCTGAAAACAAATTTCTACCTCATGTCTGAAAGTCTTAATTATCTTTGATTAATGCACTGTTTTCTTTGGGGGGAATGAAAGACTTATCTGTACATTTTTAGTGTAATATCTTATAATAATGACTCTGCATGAAGAAAATCCCAACTGTGAATCAAGCTCTTGGAGGATGGAGGTTAACTAGATGCCATTTGGTTTTGTTACTTCTGTGTCAACTTTTTAAAGCTGAATTCTTTGGATTTCTCTCTTAAAATGAAAGGATTTTTAGGTTTTTTAATATTTTCTTGACTGAACTCCAAAAGCATAACAAGAACTATTCTTTTGAACTTTAATGTTTAACTTAAAGTGTGATAACCATAAAATATTCTTTTGCAGTTTAGAAGTGAAAAGTTTTACAGACTGCATAAACTGAAGATAACTGGGAACTGAAGATAATCCTAGCAAGTGATAGAACCCAATTCAAAGTTTGCTAAATTAAATATAACAAATATTTGCAAGCTAATGAGAGCTGATGAACATCAACACTGTACTTTTCACATCTGTCCAATATGTAGTTGAAAAGTCAAAACAAGATCATGCATCATTATCTCTAAGGATGTCATGTATAAATTAAACTTCCAAGGTGTCTGTGGCAACATTTTAGATGGAGGCAGTTTTATATATGAAATGGCATAAAAAAATCCAATTTCTCTGCTGTTAGTGTATACTTTGAAAAATTTCAAATATCATTAGTTGATTTGGACTGTTAGAAAAGGAAAGGTCAACTAGTGGGATTTAGAGAGTTTGTTAAAAATAAGACATCTTTCTGTACAAAAAAAATAATTTTGAAACACATATTCGACAATCCTACATAATTTAAAATATGAAATCATATAATTGGTCTTTTAAAAGCTATTAATTTTCTACTCACTCCTATGACATTAGTTTTGTCAATTACAATACATACTTTTATTTAGACATATTTATGTATGGTAAAGATCCTATTTTAAAAATTGGCACCAAAGTTTTAAAAGAAAACATAGAATATTCAATTCTATGTGTTTTTAAAAGGTTAATTTGTAGAAGAAAAAAGGGTTTAAATTACAGTAATTACCACTTATATTATCTATTTGTGGAATATTTTCAAGATGTTAAATAAAAATACATCCCCCACTCATATGCTCTTCACAAAGTAGGCTTTTTCTCAACATTCCTGAGAAAAGATAGAGTTCCAAGTTGCTAAATTTTCAAAGTTCTTAATAGGGAGTGCATAATAGTGACCTTCCAAAAGTTAGCTGACTGACACAAAGTATCTATCAATAATGATTAAGAGATATGACAATTCAGGTTGCCCTAAAAATTAGGTAAGATCTTTCCACATACCAATACCCACTTCACCAAGTAGGCTTTATATCTACCTATTTACTATGGCTAGAAGAATATAGGTAGTCCCAGAAGACAGACCTATATACTCTAGATAGGATCCCTGATTTCAAGCAAATATTAAAGATAATCTAAGCATTTTTAAATTGGTGCCCCCCCAAAATTTATTATGTGACACAAAATTTTTATCTTAAAACTTTATGAGAGATTGTTCAGGCATCCTAACAGTTTGAGAAGTGTGTAACAGCTGAATATCAAGAAGGCTAACTCCCTCAATTGGGTTATAATTACAATATAATATTCTATTCTTTTGACTACTGGTATTCAGACAAGTTTAAGTGGACTATCACAAATTCAAATAGGCAAAATTTCTTTCAAAGAATCGTTTATACTGAGAGAACCATAGTTGTTCTAGGGCACTGAGAAAAGAGAAATATGAGTTGGAGTTAAGCATGCTAAATCACACTTGGAATACAGTTTTCATAATATGTATTGGGACATGTACATAACAATATCTCCCCAAGAGTGTGTTTACTCTATAAAATAATATTCTGCTAAGCTACATTTGGGCTAAATGGGAAATGGATATTTCAAGTAAGAAGTAGAAAAATACCAGTTGTGAAAATGTTCTGAAACTCGAATTATCTACAAATGAATAAAGCAATTTCTGAAAAGGGCAAATTAGATCATATATCTGAACATACAATTATTGTTCAATAGAGAAAGAGCATACACTGTAAAATTTCTTAAATACCTTTTTGAAATTCAAAATTCGTCCTTCAAACCAATTCCCTTTACAGAAGGGCTTCCTGACAAGGGCTAATGCTGAGAATCAGAAAACAACTTAAGAAAAAAATTAATGAAAACGCCACACAACCAAGGTGATCAGATTTTAAAGGCCCTCAATACAATTCAAACCACAAGACTGGTACCAAAAGTACACATGAAGATCCCCACACACACGTAAGTGTGAAATATAAAAAACCAAACAAACCACAGCACCCATACACGTTTACACACACACACACACACACACACACACAAACCTCAAAGTCTAAGAGAGCAGTTAAGGCAACTTAAAAAAACAACCCACGTGGCTTTGGCTTTCTGAAATGTGTTATAGTGCTACCAAGAAGCGATTCTGAAAGCATCTGAAAAACGTGCAAAGTGCCTGAAAACAGTGCCTGGCAACTGAGACAGTTTGCAAGCGTGATTCAGAGGTCTGCCAAGGAAACAAAAGAAGCCTCCCTCCTCCCGGTGAGACCGCACACGGCAACGAGAGGTGCTCCGGGCACTACTTATTGTCAGGTAGGCGGAAAGCAGAAGTCTGCACGAGTGGTACATACTAGGGATCGCCCTCCGGCAGGCACGGGGCCACGGAGTTTCCATTGGTTGGGGAACCGCCCAGCTTTAGTTTTTGCAGATATTCGGCATGCACGGGCTTGTGGCACTGGAGAACCTTGATCGCATCTTCGACTTTGAACCACTCTCGCTTCCTCCCAATGTTAACCGAATCTTCCCAGTCCTCCAGAATCTCAGTGACAGTCAGTACATACACGTACGTTCTGTGCTTGCGATCTTGGTTCTGCTCGAAAATGCCCAGGAGCCGGCCTAACTTCCCCTTGACTCCCGCCTCTTCAAACACCTCGCGGACGGCCGCACCGCCCGGCTCCTCCTCGGGCTCCATGCCCCCGCCCGGCACGATCCAGCGGTCCGGGTACCGACTGCTACTCACTAACAGCACCTCGTCCTCGCGCTCGCTCCGGAAGCACAGGCACGCCGCCCGCTTCTTGAACCCCTCCGGGTCGTAGGTCCGCGTCTGGTTCGGCTTGCACTTCATCTTCGAGGCCGTCCGCCGCCGCTCAGGTCCCCGCCGCCGCCGGGTCGAGGGGCTCCAAGGTGCTGGGGAGAGAAAGAGCCGCGAGGAGGGGCAGAGAGTGAGAGAGAGGCGCCTCAGCCCACGAGCCCCGGGAGCTCAGGGAAGATAAGGCCGGGGCGGGGACGGGGGCGGGGGTGCACGAGGTACGTCAGTCGGTCCGTCCCCTGCGTGGCCGGGGGTCCCGGGCACAGACGCCTGAGTGGAGGAGGTGCCGCCCCCGCCCCCGCCTCCGCTCCGAGCCCGCCACTCTGCGAGGAGCCCACTCGCGTCTCCGCTGCGCGTCTCCGTCCTTCTCTCTTTCCCTCCTCAGCCGCCGGGACCAAGGCTGAGCGAGGTGATGCGCATTCGCGCGCGCGTCCGCTTCCCCAGGCACGTGCGCGTTCCCGTCGGAGGGCGGGGGGCGGGGGTCTCGCGGCTCCCACAGCGCCAGGCGCCTCTGGCGCAGCGCGCAGGCGCCTGACACTTCTCGGGCTGGGACTGTCGGTCCCCCAGGGTGAAATGCACCGCTTTGTGACTTGGGCCAGCTTCTTTCCACGTGTGCCTTTGACCCAGACGTGGCTGTGGCGCTGCCGGACGTTTCTCTTCACCCTCTCCCTCAGGTCGCAGAAAACGCACGCGCAATCGTTTTACACACAGGAGCACAAGACCGATGGTCAGGTGCATAAGGTCGTAGTCATCTCCCACAATGAAGAGTACCGGCTTACTTATAGGAAGGCCTCGGTTTTGTCAAGATGATCCTAGGTATCCTTGGGTGAAAGAGTACCGAATCGTTGCTGAGTCATTTCGTGCAGTTTTGAAGAGACACTACTGAATATTCACTGAATTAATGCATTAATTTGTGAAAGTGGCACTAATAGAGAAAAGATCCTGTTTCCAAACTGCATTTCTTCCAGTAGGCACCATCTGTGTGAGAACCATGGACGTATCAGCGCCATGCAAACTCTGCTAGTCAGTGCGGCCAGATGTCTGACTCATTTTCTGTGGAAGTCTCGTAGGCTAGCACTCGGCTTACCACCCAGCCTGACTTAGGGTGGCATTTCTGGAACTCAGGCCTTCGTCATGTAAATAGACGTTGCTTTAGCTATGCAGAACATGTAGTAATTTACATATTTTCTTCTAATAAAATTGTATCTTTGAGAATAAAAGGTAATCATATAATGAAACATGATGAGTGCCAAACATGGTGAGTGCACTAGTTGAACGAAAGTTGAGACTACTGTGGAGTAATAGTACACACAAAAATCGGCACCAAGCTAGGCTCTCCATGGATCTTCTGTAGTTGAATCCTAATAAAAACCCTCAAGAGGTAATACTGTCATTCCCATTTCACAAGGGAGAATATTGAGACCATGGACATTCTGTGAGTTGCCTGTGATCTGGCAGTAGATAGCCCAATGAGAGCCCAGTTCAGGGCTCATTGGTGATCACACCTCAGAGCGAGTACAGCATAGACAGTTGTTGTTTAGTCACTAAGTCATGTCTGAATCTTTTGCGACCAGATGTACTATAGCCCACTAGAATCCTTGTCCATGGGATGTCCCAGGCAAGAATACTGGAGTGGATTGTCATTTCCTTCTCCAGATGATCTTCCGGGCCCTAGGATTGAACCCACATCTCCTGCATTAGCAAGTGGGTTCTTTAACACTGAGCCACCAGGGAAGCCCACAGCATAGGCAGACCCCGACACACTTAATCTGCTCCCAGCAGTCCTATTTGGTTCCCCTCCTTTTTTCACTGATCTGTTCTCCAAAGCTTTCATCCCAGCTGATATCACTTGCAGAAGTGCTTCATCCCAGAGATTTCGCCCCAGCTCCTTTGATCAAATGTTGGTATATTCAACACTGACCCCTGCTGTAGCAGATGGAAGGTGACTGTTTTGAGTCCTTTCGAAGGAACAAAGTAACTTATTTATACTTCTTCATGACTTTTGATGATTGTGTATGCTGGGGAGGGTCCTTTGCTGCAGAGCTAGTTTCCTTGTGTGAGAATTGTGTTCTTGGTAGGATGCCCTTTCCTTCCACAAAGACTTCAAACTGGCCCAGGAGGGAAGGTCAGGATCTTATTGATCAGTGCTGCTGTGTACCCACAGGCCCAAGCACCACACCACGAGACCAGTTCCCTCAAAAGCAACACAGAGCTCTCAGGGTTACCAAGCTGTTCTGCACATATCACAGGCTCCTTTGATTAAGACAGCAAGTGAGATCTGGGATCAAAATTGGAATCAGGAAAATGGCCACAGTCTTCCAGGACCTCAGTAAAATCTGCCTGTTCTGGGACGATGCACATTAGTGAGCAGCATGGTAGAGGGGCTCTGACCATGGGTTTTGAGCCAGGCATCATTCTCTGGAATTTGAGATTAGTAGACAATTGCTCCCCCTTTACTTTTTTCCCCATCTTCTTCTTGGGTATTTATTTCAGGGCACATTGAAAAATCAGTGGTTTTGTTAGCAGTTTTCATAAAATAGAAGATCTCCTAGCAGAGGACACCAATTTGACTCTTAGTTTCTAAACTTCATTTTAACATTGATCAGATTGCTTTTAGTATCAGCCTACACCTCACAGGAAAGCTTTATGACTTGTTGCTTTGGATGAATCTTCTGATGTGTGTAATTCCCAGAGTTCTTGTAAAGGAATCCTATTTCTCTTGTTGCTGTTTCCTAACTACATATCAGAAGAGATGATAGAATCTCTTTGGGAGATACTGTGGGTCAGCTATTTTCATAACTCACTGACAGTTTTCATAAAATCCCTGTAGCATAAGTACCATTATTCCAGTGTCATAAATCAGGGAATTAAGGCCCGGGAGGATAGATGTCTTGCTCATCACAGAGTGAGGAAGTGGCAGAGTTGGGATTTAGAACTCCTGTCACAATCCATTGTCTGCATATCTCGACAATTTAAAAAAGTATTTGAAGAACATTCTTGTGTTTTTGAGAGTCATCAATGTAAATTGGAAAATTCTATACTGTTTCTCTATCTCATCATTCTGTTTATTTTTAGAGTCTTTCTCATGACAAATAGTACTTTTCCTTTATAGACAGTATTAAGCTTATAACATTATACTTGGGGATGGCAAACATGGAAAGGCATATACATGACTCAGTTCTGGAAAGTGTTGCTTTTCGCCATACTGCGGGCTAAAAACTGTGCCATATACTGTGTAAAGGCACATGGAGAAAAGAGCCAGTTCTTGTCCTCCAAAATCTCCTGAGTTTCTAGAAGAGTTTGCGTGGCACCTGATACTCATCAACCACAGCTATGTTACCTGTGTAGAAAGTGTATACTGTACTATCCCCAGTTTGTGAATGGATGTTTTTGGTGTTAAAGTTTCAGTATGAAAGAGTCGCATGCAACAAACCTTCAGCAATGCCTAAGATGTTTCCTGCAGTGTATGTCCTACATGATAAGCAAAGAGCAAAGCAACCATGGTGCCAGCCCTTAGGATCTCACAGGAAAACAAACCAAAAAAGAAGTGTACTTTCTGAATTAGAAGTATCCATGGAGGACATGTACAGTGCAAGATGGGAAAAGAGGAAGAGGAGACAAAGATTAGGGCTGAGAATGAAGAGAGGCAGTAGGGTCAGAAGTCAGATCATATTGTGACTGTGAACAGTAAGGCCTGTATTGGAAAATTCCACTGTTTGCGGGGGGATGCAATTCCTTAATCCTGAATATCTGTGATTTTCAACAGAACGATTAAATAATCACATTACCAACCATTTCAGTTCAGTTCAGTTACTACATTGTGTCCGACTCTTTGTGACCCAGTGGACTGCAGCATGCCATGCTTCCCTGTCCATCACCAACTCCCAGAGCTTGGTCAAACTCATGTCCATTGAGTTGGTGATGCCATCCAACCATCTCATCCTCTGTCGTCCCTTTCTTATATTCTCATACCAGCCTTATATTCACTAATTAATCTCTCCAATTACATTTTTTTTGATGATTTTTATGTTTCCGTCATTTTTTTATTTGCAAAGCCTTGGATTTCCAAAGGCTCCCATCGTGAGGACATTTCAGAAACTGAGAGATTGTTAGAAGGACCAACAATAATGATAAGTCCAGGAAGTCGCCGTACATTGGTAGTCGAGGCTCCTGAGTACAGGGAGCTGTTGTAAAACTCAGGAAATTCATATGTTCCACACACCATGGTAGGCTCTGGGGTTAGATGTATCAGGCAAGCTGATCCAGCTCTCTTAGTACAGAAAGTCATGCAAGCACATCTTAAGCCCAGTGGTCTGGAAAGATTTGTCAGGATTGTTGATGGAGGAGGTGTCTTACCTGCACACAAACACACAGACACACACTCACACACAGTTAATAAATTATAATTCTTAAACCCAGCTAGGATCACAGAGTTTTGGTGCCAGTATGTCTGCCTCTAAAGCCTCAAAGAATGTCTATGACATTAAACCCTTTTTCATAATAATTTGTTTCAATTTAATTGACAACCACTACCTGCAGTTCCCCTGACTGTACTTGCCTGTTTTTGCCCTGCAGAGAGACTGGGAACTGAATGTTCTTCTTTATCTAAGGGGCAGGGACTGAGTGGGCAATTCCTGCACCCAAGCCCTTCATGCTGAGTATGGCCCCATCTGACCTCCATGTGACCTCATGTTGCTGTCCCACTGCAGGCTGCCTGTTCTTGCCTCTATATTGTAATTAGTCTTCACTACAATTAGAGTTAGAATTCGCTGCACTGTGACTTTAGTGATGCTTATTTTAATTGGCACCTTTGAGGTGCGTGTGATTATCACTGGGCCAGAAATGATTCCTTAACCTTCCCAGTAGATTGGATAATGCAGAAAATTACCTTATGCTCAACAGATTCAATACAGTAATAACTTAAATTCCGGTGATCAGTTTTCAATTGCTGCACAGCAAATTGCCTCGAATTTAGCAGCTTAAGCCAACACATATTTATTATTCCCTGGTTCCCATAGGTAATTCATGCTGCATGGATCAAGTGAGTTCTCTGCTTAGGGTCTTATGAGGCTGAAATCAAGGTGTCAGTGGGGCTTGAATCTGGGAGACTCTGGGGAAGAAGCAGCTTCCA